ATATTGATAGATATATTATAACCTACATAAATAAAAGTTCTTTGGGATCCTCAGTTTTTAAGAGTGTAAAGGCATGCTGAGATCAAAAAGTTTGAGAACCTGTGATTTAGGCTGTGATTTTTTCCCCCATCTTCCTCTATTCTTCACATTGCTTAAATCCAGGCTTTAGAAGATGCCTTCTTGGCTATTGATGCCAAACTGACCACAGAAGAGGTCATTAAAGAGCTGGCACAGATTGCAGGAAGGCCCCCTGAGGATGAGGATGAAAAGGAAAAGGTGGCTGATGAGGATGATGGTGAGTAGAATTAGATGGTGTCATTTATTTCAAAAGCCATTCATCAATGCTGATTGAGTGCATAGTACACTAGTGAAAGATGCTTGGGAAGTTGGCTTCCTGAGGACCTAAGAAGTCTTCACCATTCACTATGGTGTGCCGTCCCTAGGTTATACTTATGGTGGGTTAGGGTAGTGGTCCTTTGTGGCCTGTGGACTCTTCTGGGCTCATGGTAGGTGGTCCTTACATCCTAGATTTCTTTACCTCTTTCATGAATAGAGGCAGCCCAAAGTGTTAAAAGATTGTTTCCTAAGCACAGAGCAGTATCTTAGTTTTCTGGATGACTGGTGTCATTCTCCATGGTATTTCTATTGAAAGGGAGATTGAGGGTACCATAGACTGATAATGGGGAGGGTGTGACAGGCCAGCCTTTAGTGCCTTTCCCAAGTAGTATATAAGAAAAGAGCTTCTCTCTGAGACCAGATGAGAGGAGCCTTAGGCACACTGTTGAGACAGGAAAGTTAGAATCTTAAGCTACAGGTCTGTTGAATGAGAGTGGGGAATAATCCACAAGGAAAGTGGCATAAAGGGGCTCTGATTTAGCCTGTTCCCTGCAGTGGACAATGAGGAGGCAGCCCTGCTTCATGAAGAGGCCACCATGACGATTGAGGAACTTCTAACACGCTACGGGCAGAACTGTCACAAGGGCCCTCCCCACATCAAGGCTGGGGCTGGGTTGGGTGAGGAACCAGGGTCCCAGGGCCTCAATGGGGAGGCAGGGCCTGAGGAGCCATCAGGGGAATCCCCTGTGGAGGAGAATGGCCCCATAGCTGAGGCCCACACAGACCTTTCCTCCAACTTGGAACGTGGGCCTGAGGCAGTCCAGGGCGATGAGCCTATCACCCCCACTGGAGAGGCTGGCCCCTCCTGCTCTTCCACCCCCGCCAAGCCACCTCGTGCTGCTAAGTCCAAGTTCTTTGAGGACAGTGAGGATGAGTCAGATGAGGCAGAGGAGGAAGAGGAAGACAGTGAGGTAAGGGCCTGTGAGGGCCAACAGGTGCTATAGTTGCACAGAGGGACTGTCTTGTCCCCACCCCACTTTTTCAAACTTTCCCTCCCATCCTCCCCACTCCCCTAAAGGTTTAGCCTCCTTGAGCCTAATATCGCCACCATCACAATTAACATCAACTCTCTTCCTGGGTGGAGGCAATAAGAGATAGACCCAGTCTTGGCCCTCAGAAGCCCAACCATCTCCCAGAGAGGAAACCAGAAGGTAGATGATAATCGGGGTATTAGGGCATTTCCTTCTTTTTGGGGAGGTTGGGGTTTTTTTGGGCTGTTTTGGGGAGGCCTTCCCTGGGGTTTCCCACTTCATGACAGCTAAACCCAGTTCAGGATGATACCCTTCCCACCCTGAAATTTTCCCACCCCAATCCTGTAAGTAGCAGCTTTTTAGGGGTTGGAGAGAGTGTGACTAGGTAGGATTTGATGGTGGTAGATGGGTGGGCTTTAGGGTAGGAAAGGTTCAGCCTCATCTCAGCAGTATGGCGTCATCATTGTGGCAGGAGTGCAGTGAAGATGAGGATGGATACAGCAGTGAGGAAGCTAACGAGGATGATGAAGATGACACAGAGGAGGCAGAAGAAGAGGATGAGGAAGAAGAGGAGGAGGAGGAGATGATGCTGCCTGGGATGGAAGGCAAAGAGGAGGTGTGTGTGGTGGAGGGAGTGGGCCTGGAGTAGCAAATTTTTGTGCAGAGGCATGTGTGGTAAGGCTTTGATTTTGGGGGGACGGGATCACATCTGTGTCTTAGCATGGGAGCCCTGGCCAGAGGGTCTCTATTGTCAGTCAAATGGTGGTCTGTAGAATCTTTACCTTAAGGGAGGAGGTGGTTCTTCCTTGGAAAGATTCTTTCACCTAGCCTCCATTTATTAAAGTTGTGGATACAGTTTCTATCCTAGGAGCCTCCAGTATCTACTTTGGCTCAAGATAAGAGGATGAAGCTTGGGAAGGAACTTCTTGGATGAACATCACTGCGAAAGGCCATGATGATGGCGGTCCTCATGACCCTTTCCTTTTTCTTCTCTCATAAGCCTGGCTCAGACAGTGGTACAACAGCAGTGGTGGCTCTGATTCGGGGGAAGCAGCTGATCGTGGCAAATGCAGGAGATTCCCGATGTGTGGTGTCTGAAGCTGGTAAAGCCCTAGATATGTCCTATGACCATAAGCCTGAAGATGAACTGGAGCTTGCAAGAATCAAAAATGCTGGCGGCAAAGTTACCATGGATGGACGAGTCAATGGGGGCCTCAATCTCTCCAGAGCCATTGGTAAGAGGCTTGGGGGTGGGAGTGATATTGGGGCTTCCACCCTTCCAGGGACAGCCTATGGTCATGTCTGCGTAGTGCTTTTAATATTTGGGAACATTCTGTATATAAAAATATGTATATAATTTTCTCCCTATAATTGAAAGGATAGGTTTATCATCCTTATTTTATAGATGACGAAATAGGATGAAAGGTTAAATGACAGTCAGATGGCAGCTGGAACTAGGCCTTGGTTTCCTGGTTCTTTACCCAAAGCTCTTTCCACTGTACCACATGACTTCTCAAAGCCTGAGAGAAGCATGTGCCTTTAATACAATTCCCTGTCCAGATGGCAACACTTCTGATAATTCATCCTCCTACCAGGTGACCACTTCTATAAGAGAAATAAGAACCTGCCACCTGAAGAGCAGATGATCTCTGCGCTGCCTGACATTAAGGTGCTAACCCTCAATGAGGACCACGACTTCATGGTCATCGCTTGTGATGGCATCTGGTGAGCAAGGGCGTGGGAGGCCCTGAAGAAAGGTCTTTTGCCATAGACCTCCCTCTAACTTCTTGCTCTGGGCCTGATGCTTTTATGGTGTTGTCATTTAATTGCCTGCATTAAGCAGTTTTATATTCCCTGAGCTGCTTTAGTAATAGGCCTTCATGAGTCAAAACCTCTAAGTGTGAGGCTGAGATGGCAGTTTCTTTAAGTATTGACTGGTGTGGGGTAACATGACTGGGCCTTCTCCAAAATGGGTCCCTTTACTCTGGTGGATCCTAGGCAGTGCTCTGACCATTGTGTTTGGCCACAGGAACGTGATGAGCAGCCAGGAAGTGGTGGACTTTATCCAGGCCAAGATCAGCCAGAGGGACGAAAACGGGGAGCTTCGGCTGCTCTCCTCCATCGTAGAAGAGGTGAGCTGAGCACCCTGGAGAGAAGTGGGAGGGTCCTCTAAATGTAATGGAAATTGAGTCTCTGTTGCAGCCTAAACCATGGAGATTAATGCAAAACTTTTAAACCATCCAGTGGAAGTTTTTCTTTCCTGTCTGTAGTTCTTAGTTGACCAGCAGGTGACAGCTTTTTCATGAAGCTTCAGACCCTTTTCCCACTCCTTTTCATCCCTACTGAGCAGAGCCAGCCCTATTATGAACTCTCAGGTTCAGCCTCTGGTCTCCACCCCATGACTGAAGTAACCTGTTCCTCCTGCAGTTGCTGGATCAGTGCCTGGCACCTGACACTTCTGGGGATGGCACTGGGTGTGACAACATGACCTGCATAATCATCTGCTTCAAACCTCGAAGCACAGCAACACCCTTGCCTGAGAGCGGCAAGAGAAGACTAGAAGAGGTTGTGACCCCTGAAGCCACTGGGGAGAACGGCAGCAATGACAGCAGCAAGAAAGCCAAACAGGAATAGCAACTGTCTCGTCCCCTGCCCACCCAGACTGTTTTCTGAGCCCACCGGACTTAAGACTGAGTTTTGTCTTTTTCCTTTAGCCTTAGCAGTGGAAATGAGGTGTGCAGGGGGATCCGGGGTGGCTTTGCTTAGCCCATTCCAAAGAGGGCTCTCCCTCCACACAGCACACTGCGGGAGCCCCTTCTTTCTCCCCCAACTGGCCCCCTCACCGGGCAGTGGGAGAGGTGGAGCACGGCACCAGCTGGAGGCCTTGACCCTGTGCAAGTCACCATTAATGTGCCTGTGCTGTTGTGTTGGAGGGAAGGACTGGTGGTTCTGGTTTTTACTCTGTGAACACTTTATTTAAGAACTTTCTTTTTTATTGGCAGCTCCCTGGTCCCTCAGCTGCCTCCACCCACTCTGTTGTACACTTTCAATCAACACTTTTTCAGACTAAAGGCCAAAACCCAACTGTGCCCTGTGGTGTCCTTCTTTACTGTAACCCAATTCCAAGTAGAATCCTCTCCAACCTAATTCAGCAAACTCTCATTGAGCACCTCCTTTACGCAGGGTGCTGAGCGGCGCCGTCTGACCCCCCGTGGGGTGAGGGGTCACTTGAGGTTAGCAGGAATGAGCAGGCGTTCTGGAGGGGCCGGGGCTACCCGACCTGGACCTTGAAGAGGATTTTAAAATGCAGGGGGAGTGCTGCAAGCACGGATAAAAGGGGATCCAAATGAATGGGGGCAGAAAGGAAAAGGACACTTGGGAGAAGGGGAAGAGTTAACTTGATTGGAAAGTTAAAAGTACTAAGGGCAGTAATATTATAATGGGCCAAAAAAAACTCAAAAAGCCTGTCTACCGCCAGTCCGGCCGGGCCGGCGGGATCCCAAGCGCGTCCTCACCTCAGGAGGTGAGGGCGCGCCCGTACTGCTGGGGGAAGCGCCTGGGGGTGGGGGTGGTGAGCAGGAAGGAAGCCAGCAGGGGGCCTGGGAGGGGGAGGGGAGGGAGTGCAGGGCCAGGCACCCGAGGCTCGAGAGAGGAGAAAAACGGGTTCCGTTTGGGCCGTGCGGAGATCAGGGCAGGAGGGTACTGGGCTCTTCAGTGGACGGGACGGGAAAGTGGGAGTCTCAAAAGAAGGGAGAAGAAAGCCACGCCCGCGCTCTAGAGACGCGGGGTGGTGGTGGGGGCGGGACAGAAGCAGAGTCTCGCTACCCACCTTCCGCGGCCAAGAAGAACCTGGGCAGTTGGGCTCGAGGTAAGGGCGCCACACTTAAAGTGAGTGTGTGTATGGGGGGGGAAGCATCGGACACCCGGCTCTTGATTGGGTCCTATGCCACCTCGTCGCAATTACTTCCGGGCCGAGCAACTGAGCCACGGAAGTGGCTGTTTTTTCTGTTTCCTATGGACTACGAGTTCCGTGGGGCTTCGCGGCAGCGGAAGCGGAAGCGAATACGGAGGTACCAGCTGGTCTCCGAAAGGAGGGGGGTTGGGGGGGCTCCATGAATGGAAGCGGCGGCGACGGCGGCGGGAGCGGCCTGAGCTGGGCGCCGGGGCCAGGGCCGGGGGCTGCCCGGGGCCCGCGCCGCTGCATGGGGGCGGCCCGCGGGCCCTGAGCGGGAGTGAGGGCGGGCCAAGGCGGGCAGGCAGGGGCGGGGCGGCCTCGGGGCCGGAGGCGCGTCGGGCTGGAGCCGGTCACGATGCCCCGAAGGAAGCAAAGCCACCCACAGCCCGTGAAATGTGAGGGGGTCAGGGGTCAGGGGGGAAGGAGCGCAGGGGCGGGGGGAGGGGAGTTGGGGCGGGGCGGAGGAGGGGTCAGTCGTGGGGTGGGGGAGGGGTGGAGCCGGGGCGGGGGGGCCCGGAGACTTGGGGGGAGGAGCGCAGGGTGAACCCCCGGAGCCCGGTTTGTAGTGGGTAGTGCTAGGGTCTGGCAGAACTCGGGCCTCCCTCTCCCCGGGAAGCAGTCAGGGCACGGTGGCAGGCAGGGGCAGGTGCCCTTGCTTTGGGGGAAGGTGGGCATGCCCCCCTCCCCCCGAGGCAGAGCCGGCAAGCTTTGTGTCTCTCCGTAGTGGACACGGAAGATCCCCTGGAGGAAGGGCCGGGGGCCCTGGTGTTGGAGAGTGACTTGCTGCTAGGCCAGGACCTGGAGTTTGAGGAGGAAGAGGAAGAGGAGGAGGAGGAGGAAGAGGAAGAGGAAGAAGGTGACGGCAGCAGTGACCAGCTCATGGGCTTCGAGAGGGACTCCGAAGGTGGGTTTAAGGGTTGCTCGGCCATCTGCTCAGATTGGGGTTTGAGGGTCAGAGGTCTGCTGACCCGGAATGGCCAAGTTTAGACTAGAGTTTAATCTTAAGGGAGCAGAAAAGAAAATCATGTCCTGGTTTAGAACTGAATTGGGCCAGAATTTTTCACTTGATCCACTACTTTGCAAGACCCTTACCACATTTGTCAAGTCTATTCATATGTCTCTCCATGCAACTAGTCTTGTAGCTTGTACCCCATGATATCTGGCCCCAGACTTGGGGTGCTCATGGCCTGAAAACCTTATCCTCAGTATTGGCACCTTAAATACCACTTTCATCTGGCCAATTCTGACCACTAGAATCTTTCTCACTCCTGACCTTTGGTCCAGTTACTACCCCTTCCCTGCCCTTTAACCATTATTTAATTTTTCCTTTCCTATTTTATAACTCTGCTTTTTATAGCTCTGCTTATTTCTCAGAGTTATTGTGAAAATGAGTGAGGGACTCTGGTAAAGTTCTGTGCATGTGGAAGGTGGTATATTTCTCCTTTTCATTGTGTTGTTGCCATCCTGAAACTTGCTTTTTAAGTTGTGTACTAAGACTTGAAGGACAGTAGATAGAAACTGAACCTCGCTCATTATATTTTAATGATTCATCCTTCGGCTTGTGGTCCTTTATGACTCCTCCTAGATGCTTATCTTGAGCATATGTAGGCATCTCATCACATTTTGGATTTATTCTCTCTATACATTTCCTGGTTTTCTTTTTCTTGTTATGTTTTTACCTACGTTTGTGTTATATTGTGGAAAGGACCAAACAGTGCTGTCATTTTATCAACCCAGCTGTTGCTCAGAGTTGACAAGGCTGGTTTCTGCACCAAAAGGGGGCTTTTTCATTTACCTGCCAAATAGTCACTGACATTGAACTTAATTCTCTAGAGAAAATTCAAAAGGATTACCATAGGGTAACACGTAGGGAATATCTTCTCTGTCCTCAGTAAGAAATAGATGAAATGAGTTATAAGGGAAGAAATAAAGGTGAGTTCTCCTGGATGATGAAACGGGAAAGTGAAAACTAAGAGGGGACAGGCCTACCACAACCCACTTTTGACATCCCCTCCTGTGTCTGTCTTGCCAGGAGACTCTCTAGGGGCCCGGCCAGGGCTGCCCTATGGACTGAGTGACGACGAATCTGGGGGCGGCCGGGCGCTGAGCGCAGAGAGTGAGGTTGAGGAACCAGCCAGGGGCCAAGGGGAGGCTGGGGGTGAGAGGCCAGGCCCAGCTTGCCAACTGTGTGGGGGGCCTGCTTGTGAAGGACCATGCTGTGGGGCAGGAGGACCAGGTGGGGGACCACCACTTCCCCCACGGCTGCTGTATTCGTGCCGGCTTTGCGCCTTTGTGTCCCACTACTCTAGCCACTTGAAGCGGCACATGCAAACCCACAGTGGGGAAAAGCCATTCCGCTGTGGCCGCTGCCCCTATGCCTCTGCCCAGCTTGTCAATCTGACACGCCACACCCGCACCCACACTGGTGAGAAGCCGTACCGCTGTCCCCATTGCCCCTTTGCCTGCAGCAGCCTGGGCAACCTGAGGCGCCATCAGCGCACCCACACAGGCCCCCCTGGCCCTCCCTGCCCGACCTGCGGCTTCCGGTGTTGTGCCCCAAGACCCCCCAGGCCTCCCAGCCCCACGGAGCAGGAGGGGGCAATGCCCCATCGACCAGAAGGTAATGGGCCAGTAGGGAGGGTGGCTCAGGGACCAAGAAACCTGGGACAGAAGGGCAAGTGGTCCTTCAATACCTGGAGTCACAGCCCACGTTCTGACCTTCTCCCCACAGATGCTGTGCTCCTTCCAGATTTGAGCCTCCATGTGCCGCCAGGTGGTGCCAGTTTCCTGCCAGACTGCGGGCAGCTGCGGGGAGAGGGGGAGGGGCTGAGAGGTACTGGACCAGAGCCACTGCCTGAGCTGCTGTTCCCTTGGGCCTGTCGAGGCTGTGGGCAAGAGTTGGAGGAAGGGGAAGGTGAGGGAGGCCGCCTGGGTGCCACCATGTGTGGGCGCTGCATGCGGGGAGAAGCTGGAGGGGGAGGCAGTGGGGGCCCCCGTGGTCCTGGAGATAAGGGCTTTGCCTGCAGTCTCTGCCCCTTCGCCACTCACTACCCCAACCACCTAGCCCGGCACATGAAGACACACAGTGGTGAGAAGCCATTCCGCTGTGCCCGCTGCCCCTATGCCTCAGCCCACCTGGACAACCTGAAGCGGCACCAGCGAGTACACACGGGGGAGAAGCCCTACAAGTGCCCCCTATGCCCTTATGCCTGTGGCAACCTGGCCAACCTCAAACGCCACGGTCGAATCCACTCGGGTGACAAGCCCTTCCGCTGCAGTCTCTGCAACTACAGCTGTAATCAGAGCATGAACCTGAAGCGTCACATGCTCAGGCACACAGGAGAGAAGCCCTTCCGATGTGGGACCTGCGCTTATACTACAGGCCACTGGGACAACTACAAGCGCCATCAGAAGGTGCATGGCCATGGAGGGGCTGGAGGGCCTGCCTCAGAAGGGTGGGTACCACCCCACAGCACATCTTCTGCCCTCAGTCCTCATGGCCCTACATCTCTGAGCACCACCAGTGGGAGGGGACTCCACACAGATTCACCCTGAAACAGGTCCCCTCCCCAACTCTGGACTCCACATGGACCAGCTCTACACAGACTGAGGCTGAGGCCTGTCCCCACAAACCCTTTTTTTCTTCTTCCCCCCGCTGGCCAGGGGCTCCATACAGACTAATCCAGACCCTTACATGGACCAGCCCAGAATCCCATGGAGGGGGGACCCTCACATGGACCAGGAGGCCTTGCCTTCAACACTCCTTGAGTGCAGTGGGAAGGGCCCTCTCCTCACTTCCTCTGTCAGCCTAGGGGCTGTTGAGGGAATGGCTGGGGGCCTGCCCAGCTCCCACCTCTTTATTTAACTTATTTCAGTGCTTTATAATAAAGGAAACACTAACGGAGCCATGTCTGCTGTGGTAGCAGAGCTGGGCACAGAGAGCTCCTCTGGGCAAGAAAGCAGGGCCAAGTAAGAGGGGAACGCCAAAGGCAGGCAGCGATCAGGCCGAGTTTAATGATGGGGCAGCAGGGCCAAACTATACACAGAGGCTCTTCCCGACTCTTGCCTTCCCCCCTCCCCCCACCAGGGATTCAAAGCAGCTCAGGGGCATGGGAATCTCCATCCTCCAGACAGGTGTCCATGGTCCATAGGGCTTTGTGCAAAAATACTAAATGCTAATTTGGCATTAGGAGCAGGGGAGGAGGTGGTTAGGAGGCCACTGGCCTTGATAAGGAAGGCAAGGAGATAAAGAGGGTAAAGAGGGCGGGCCCCCAGCCTGGGGGGCACAGGCACAGGGCAAGTTCCTGTACATTCCTCCATGGGAGCTGGAGGAGTCATCCAAGCAGCAGGAAGGTTACAGATCCTCATCCCCAATGCCTTCAAAGGCATAATTGCCATGGACATCACTGGTGCTGGTATCTGGGCTAGGGCTGCTGATTCCTCGAAGGCTCACTGCACTCAGCTTGCTCTGTAATAAGGATAAGGGGAAGCTCAGAGGGCTGAAGATACTCCAAAAATATCAACTTCACCCACCCTGAGCTGGGAACTCACTGAGAGTTTGACCATTGACTCCCGAGTAGCATCAGGCGAATCCTGGGGAAACCAAATTAGAAATATTACTAAACAAAGGCAACATTAGTTTAAGACTGGAGAGCTAAAGGGTTGGCAATACTTACAAGCAGTGGTGGGGACTTTACTGCTTGCTGACTGTCTGAACGTCTCAGGGTTCCACCTGCTCGTCGTCGTAGCATCTGTGGATAAATAAATGGTTCAATTATTGAGACAGGTGCACACCTCCCAAGGTTAAGGAGGAATGAGATGGTACAAGTCACATATATGTTCACCTCTCACCTTCCTGATGCTCCCCCCTGATTTTTTCACCATCAGTTCATCCACCATGGACTGCAAGCAGATGCTCATCATGATGGCCTAGGGACAAGAGCAGAGTTTAACTATGACAAGGGCTTACAAAATACCCAGGCCACCCTAAAAAAAAAAAAGCTGTGACATGGAAAGGTGAATCTTATTCAGGCATATAGACTTCCCAGACCCAGACGCACAAAACAGATAACAAAAGGCCATAACATGGGAGGTCTGTGGCTAAGCTGGGGGAGGTCCACACCTGTGGGCTAGTAATGGTGACCCACTGCAGCCGATCCTTGCTCATGAGATACTCAAATGCTAGTTCCAACCGAACTTCTCCCCTGCCTCGGCCTGGGCTGCTTGTGCTCCCACTGGGCAACGGCACCTGGTGGTGTGGAGGACAGAGCAAAGCTCACCTGGAATACATTTCCCTTCCCTCTTTTTATTTTAACCCATCTTATATCTAATATTTTCATTTCCTAAGCCAATAACTATTGGACCCTCCAGTGAGCATATTATATGAGTTACCTTTAAGAAGTCCCTCATGTGTCTCAACCCCAACTCACAGAGGAAGTAACCCGCCAGCACCGCATTCGGGTAACCCGGAAGGAGCCCTCACGAAGCTGCTGACCAGGCAGACGAAGCTGAAGGCTCAGCTCACTGTTGCCTGCACTCACTACCACTGGGCAACCCTTCTCTGGAAAGTCGGCCACACAAGGCTCAAACCGAAGATAACCATAGTGCCTCAGGGTCTGTGCTAACCGTAGAAACTGAAATGGAGCATGAGTACAATAGACAAGGTCAGACAAGAACTTAGAGGGTAGTTTGTGAGTGTTATTGAGGAGCATACAGAGACAAGTGGCGCTATCTGTACCTCTTTCTTGGAGACCTTCTCCTGCAGAGACTTGAGTTGCCGGTGCTGTTCCTTAGTAACCAGGATCCAGCCATGCTCAATGTCAGAAACTGTCTATAGATGGGACAAGAGTACAGAGTTGGGGGAGAAATATTGTGTTAGCCAGAGCCTTGGACTCAAGCTGCCTTCTTCATTCACATGGGTCTCAGCTCATACCTCATTTCAAAAGGGATTAAGATGGGCTTTCCAAGTGGAAAGTGGAAGCATGTGGAGCATGAAGGCAATTTTCTTGGACAGTTTCCAGTTTACCTGAGCATAAAGTAGATTCAGTCCAACCCGGTTTTCCATAACATCATCATCATAGGCAGAGTCCCAATAACTGTAAAGCCAAGGGGGAAAAGATAATGGGGCTAAGACACAGCAAAAGAAATTCCAATAAACTGCTGGGATGAGTGGAGTGGCACAGATACAGAAGAAAGCTTAGGAAACCTGCCCCAGCTCTAACCCCTTTCCTGTGTTGTTCAGTCCCTTACATGCCCTAACAACCCACACCTGAGGCTGCCCCAATGCACTAGGCCATCCCTGACCTCTTCCTAAGCACAATCTTATACTCTTGACTCCGTAGGCTGGTAACAGACACATAAGGCAGCTCAAACTCCTGCAACTTCCGCACAACTGTGGGAGAGAGAAGAGGAAAACATGAGACTGATGAAGGGAGAGAAAACCTGAAACCATGCAACATCATGGTCTTGTAAATCAGAGGGAGGTATTCAAGACTAGTCATCACAAGGTATTAGCAGTGACTCACAGGAGAAGGCCCCATCCTCTTGCTCTCGAACAAGAAAAAGGCTGAAGTAGCCAATCAAGTCATCTGGAAGGTCCAACTTTGCAGCTACTGCCTGGGGAGAGGGACAAAAATAACAGCTGGTTACACACTAGCTCCCCATTATCCTCAAGGCAAGTCCAATGGATGAAGGAGAGGCAGGGGTCTCACCTCCAGGACATCTTCAGTCTGGTCAGAAGTCAGAATAGTGACTAGCACCTTCTGGCCATTGCTTAGTAGCACCTCCAGGGATACCTCCTCTGTAGGTACCTGCTGCGTTTCCTGGACATAAATACAGGACTAGATAGCTTTGCAAAGCTCAGACCCTGCCCTAGAGTTGAGACTTCACAAGCTTTCCTTTAGTCCCACAGAAAGACCCAGGTTGCCTTAATCTCCTCCCCACAGCACAGACCATTACCCAGAAACATGGATCAGAATCTGTATTTAGTTTTTTGTTTTTTGGTTTTTTTTTTTTGGTTAAGCAATGGGTTAAGTGACTTGCCCAGGGTCACACAGCTAGTAAGTGTTATGTGTCTGAGGCCACATTTGAACTCAGGTCTTCCTGAATCCAGGGCTGGTGCTCTATCCACTGTGCCACCTAGCTGCCCCTGTATTTAGTTGTGACTGCCCTCTGCCTACCCTCCTAAAATGACAGTCCTCTACATCATGCTCTTTCCCATGTATCTCAGTCTCAATCAACTCCTCACCTGTTGTGCCCGCCGAAGGAAACTGTTAAAAGTCTCACTGCCCCCCAGCAATGGGTCTTGTCGAACTGTAAGGGGGTAGAGGAAGTTACGACTATGTACCAATTATTCAGACTCCCACAACCCTTGGCTATCCCAGTTCTGTTCCTGATTGGTCCCACCCCTAGTTCCATTTCCTGGACTGATGTTAATTAACCTGCTAATTCCTTCAGCTGGCCTCACCTCACTCACTCACTCCTTGCATAAATTCTTCACCTGCCCCACCCTTGGCTGGTCCTGCCATCTAGTTAGGTCCAATCTACAGAGCTAAGGAAATAATAGTAGAGTTAATCTAAAGCAGGTAAGAAACAAATTAAATCTCTTCCCTCACTGTCTCCCAATTTATATCAGTTATCACTTAAAGTTATTTAAGTATTTCTTTAAAATGTTAAGTAACAAATTATTTTCTCAACATAGCATTCTTTTTGGTTCTGCATAACATAGCAAACAAGTGACTTTAAGGACTTAGAAGTGAACTAGAAACCTTCTAAACAGCCAGCCCTATTTGGCCATCCTGCCCTAGCTGTTTCTCACCTTGCTCCAACCAGCCAGCCTAACATTCCCTCTCACAACTCACCAGCCTGCATGTATTTCTCTAGCTGCTCTCTTCGCTGTTCCACCTCAGCTGGTGTCAGAGTAAAAAGCTTCTTTGGGGGAAATGCAGGGAGAACATTAGCCCCATACTCCTTCCGAAGCTGTTGGGAGAAAAAAGGGCAATTCCACAAAGAAGTGAAGGGATGCAAGTAAAGATAGGCTCTACTGGGCTCTTTAATCAGTCAGGCTCATTTTTCCATGCTTTGATTCTCCAGTCACTTGTTCCCCTGCATAAAAAAAAAATCCTGACTACTTGGAGAAGAAACCTTTCTTCTTTTAGAAAAGCACCTCTCAAGAGAATCAGGTCTGCCCCAAGGAAAAAATACCCCTATCTTTTGCTCTCATAATAGACAAGTCAGCCTTTCAAGATGAAGCTGGATGGAAAGACAGGACCAGAGTCTAAAGTCCCTTCACTAAGTCACTCAAGTTCCAGTATTAACTGAACCCTAACAAAGTACAAAAAGCAGGGAAGAAAAACTTAAGAGGAACACATCAGTGATCAGACACTGTCCCTAAATTTAAAAGGTTTACAACCTGATGGGTAAGTGAGAGAAACACAACAGAGGTTTAGTTGAACTGAAAGGTATTCCAGACAAGTTTATTTTTTTTAAATAGTTTTGTAGATAATAAAACTCAAACCTGAGAGATAAAATAGCCTGCCCATAGTTACATCATTTGTGGAACATCTGGGATTTGAACCTTTTAAAGCTCAACTCCTAATGCTGTGTGCTTTTTCCAATGTCATAGAGATAATTTTAACAGATTAATTAAACATTTCAAAAGACTGCCAAATTTTGAGCCCAAGGAATTTGATTCCAGTTCTTGCAAGGATGTAGTGGATACCTGTGCATCCCTGGCAAGTCACTTAGCCTGTTTGCCTCAGTTTTCTCATCTGTAAAATAGAAATAACAATAGCACCTACCTCCCAGGGTTGTTGTGAAGATCAAATGAGAAGATAACTGTAAAGCTTAGCACAGTGCCTGACACACAGTAGGTGTTTTATAAATGTTAGCTATTATTATTATTAC